ATGAAATGCGCCCTTAAGATCTCTATTAAGTCGAAAAACCAAAAAAAAAAAAAATCTCTATTAAGGAAAGTATATTTATTTATTTATTTATTTGTTTTGTTTTTTCGAGACAGGGTTTCTCTGTGTAGCCCTGGCTGGCCTGGAACTCACTCTGTGTAGACCAGGCTGGCCTCGAACTCAGAAATCCACCTGCCTCTGCTTCCCAAGTGCTGGGATTAAAGGCATGTGCCACCACCGCCCGGCAAGGAAAGCATTTTTAAATGACCCAAAATAAACAACTTTCACCAAGTTACATTTAATGTTCAACACCCCAAAGAAGATCTAAAAGATTAATCAATTGCTTAAAATCTTTTTAAAAAAATTTTAAGATATAAAATTTGATGTGGGTCTGATTTATAACTAATGCAATTCCTTTTCTTTTTGTTGCTTTTAAGTAACAAAAATGTAAGTAAAGTTTCTCAAATTGCAAAGCTAAACATATATATACTTGCCAGTAGATACTTGTTACATGAATGTTCTTAGAAAAATTTTTTTTTCTGTATTTTGAGACAGGATCTCACTATGTAGATAGAACTGGTCTTGAACTCACAGAGATCCACCTGCCTCTGCCTCATGAAAGTTGAGATTCAAGGCTTGTGCAGCTATGCCTTTGCCCAGACAAAAAGATGTTTAAGACAGAGAAGAAAAGTACTCAAAGGTGTCAAGCCTGCTCGCCAGCTCTAACTCCTTTGTTCTCTGTCCCAGTCTGGCTAGAACTGAGTTCTGGGTCACAGCTTATATATTCAGAAATACACTGAAAAATACTTTAAACAAGTGGTTTATTTGAAATGTTGAAAGCAAATGTGTTCGCAGTAAGAATAAAAATATTAAAATACGTTGCCATCAAGGATGGTAAAAATGAAGAATAACATCTTAGATCTGGCTCATCCAGGGAGCTAGCTGCAGCCTCTGAGTATATTACTAGAATAACACAAAGCAAAGGCACTGCTAATATGCGAATGAAGTGAAACACTGCTTCTTAACTGAGGTACCACATGGAAGATCAAGGCAGCTGCTGGGATGCTCTTCTGAGTCTCTGTATCCTAGCAACTGCCCACTGACAGAAAGAGCTACCTCCTGAATGAAATGGGACATCCCACAGAGCTTGTGTGGAGAAGGGAGACAGAGTACAGGGAGGCTGTGCTTTCCTATGAAAGGCCCTTTTCTAGTGTGTCACTGGAGCTTGCAAATACATAAATCAGTGGTCATGATGAGTCTCTACCACAGAAGCAAGCTGGGTCCGAAATGCCCGCACATTCACACAATTCCAGGACACAAAATATCCAAGGGAGTATTTGGGAAATCCAAACACTGACAGACATGAGCATGCTTGGCCTGCTTGGGAGAATCAAACATTCAAAGAGAGAAGTGAAAATAGATGTGCAAATTCAAACTCTAGGCTTGGAAAGGTCAAGGGGCAACGAGAGTACACGTTCCTGGCCTGTGCCAGGATAAAGAATTGAGTTTCTCCCAGCTCTGAAAGCCAATGCTAAGGAGCAAACCTACTAAAGCAGACACAGTTGCATGCACCATCCCATAATAGCCCCGTAGTGATTGACTGCTTGTAGCTCAAGTACAGAAGAGAATGCATTTTTAGAGAGCCAGAGGCCTGTCAGGAAATGGAAAGATCCCTTTGTTTCTTTTAAAAGATTTTATTTTTTAAAAAAAAATTTCCTTTTTCCATACCTGGCAAAGATGGCAGTCATCTGCACAGGCCTGAGTCTGAGTAATCTTTTTATCTCAGTGCCTAGCAAATGGGACAGCTGGGAAGACATGGACAGACAGCAGAGACGGTTCGTCCCCAGGACTCCGAGTAAAACTCCAGTGTTAGAAAGTACAGTGTGAAGAAACTCCCACTCTGTCCTCTAGCACTGTTCAGGTGGGTAGTAATAACAGAAGCCAAAGGAAACACTAGGCTGCTTTACAAAATTTGGAATTTTCTTGAAAACCTTTAGGAATTCCTTGGGAGAAAGTGCATTGTTTCTGCAGGTGACTCTGAGTGACTGAGGAACAGGACCACATTACACAGTGTTTGACAACAACCCCACAAAGAGGGCACAGTCGGCCTTCTTTTCTGGTGTAGAAAACAAGATGAGCCTATCACATGTAGTAGGAGACTGAGTAAGGTGGGTTGTCTGTCTCTAGAGTTTACATTTACAGACAGACATAGGTAAAACACTGTTCCACAGTTTTTATATAGTTAGGCGTCAAAAGAACTTTTCTAAAACTAAGTGAAAACATGACGAGATTTTTATCTGAAAATGGCTCCGGATTGCACATGACTGGGAAGCCAACTAAACTTCAGCCTTCTCTGAAATCAGTGACCTCATTGTCTACTGTTAAAAGCAGTCCACCCAGTGAGCTGACTCTATGCCATGCCCTGATCCCTCCCACAATCAGTTCTCCGAGGCTGGGCTTCTTCTGAGACCTGTCATTTACCAAGAACAAATAACACAAGTAAAGACGCCAGGCAGGAACAGTTCCCTGTCCAGCCGACATTTGTCCTCCAGGGCAGACAGCCTTAAAAGTTCAGAAGCCACTACCTAACAGTGTTCTTCGCCACAGTTCTCATCTGCTGTCACTTAAATAAAAGCCAAGAAAATGTTCGATTTCAAGTCTGGTGAATGAAAGGAAAACCAAATCCTGTCTTTGCTATCCCTTGGTTTGGCGATTGGCATTTACATGAACAATCACCATAAGACATTTGACCTGGATTTTGTTAGGCCACAAAGCATTCTTCTTGCTGGGTCAGGTTGGCCATGTAGGTGAACAGTCTCGGTGCCAAAGACAAGAGGTAGAAGCAGAATTTAAGTGGGGGGGGAAAATAGACGGTGTCACCATTATCTATTTACAGAGGAGAAAGAAATGCTATCTGCTGGAATGCAGGGGTGACAGGGTGTGACCTAGGCAGTTCTCTACTAACCCAAGATGAAGAGGGAAGCAGAGGGCTTCAAACAGTGACCTGCAAAGAGGCCAAGGGCCACACTCTGAAGCCAGAACCACGCCGCTATGTGTTCAAAATAAGGCAATACAAGGAACGATCTGATCAAAGAACTTTAGTCAAGGCATAGAGTCAACCATTGGCTGAAGAATATTTCAAGTTACCCCAAGTCATCCCAACCATGATCCTGAGAACTGGTATCATTTCCCAGGGAGATTGTAAAATAACCCAACTATTAAGAAGGCAACGCAAACTTGAAATCCAGCTTTTTTTGCTTCTAAAATCTATTTCTTCCACATTGTGACATATTCTCCCCAAGTCATTATTTCTGTCTGAGCTTCCTGTGAATCTGATGCAAACTATCTCTGAAAAGCCACTATCATGAGTGGGTAGAAACACAAGGCAGAGGAATCACACACTATCCCTGAGGACCAAGAGCTATACACAGACACAGACACACAGACACACACACACACACACACACGATTATTGCTTCAGTTTCTTCCTCTTATGTTCTGCTCATGGGCCAGTCCCTTCTGTCTCTGGTCACTCTCCAACTATTTCAGGGGCTCTCCTCCACCCCAGTAACATTCCAGTTCATGTAACACAACAAGCCCAAGAGTTTTCTCTTCTGTCTCCAATAACTAATGGCTCACAGGGGGTCAGTTCGGTCTTTTGTCAACTCTTTTCTGATGTTATTATCTGAGTATATGCAAAGTGGCAGTGCCCTAGGTCCTGGGGATATACATGTAATTAGCAGTCACTCCCTTCTTCAAAATTGAAGATCTACTCTGCTCTTGCAATGAATGCTTCCTGGTAACACGCTGGGCCTATGGGCATGAACACCTGATTTCCTTATGTGCAATTCCTCTGAACGATTCAGGCTGGAGGTCTCCACAGGAGCTGCAGAATTCTGGATCTCTATTATTCCCATGATTCTCTTCTAGCTACCTTGCAGAGCTTTCTCTTCTGAAAACATAGTGTGTTCTCTTCAATCTACTTTATTTATTTATTTGTTTGTTTGGCTTGCTTGCTTGTTTGTTTGCTTACTTGCTTGTTTGTTTGTTTGTTTGTTTAGGAAGTCAGACCCTGTCTTAAACAAGCAGGGGGATAAGAAACGAGTGAGCTGTGGTGGTATGCACCGGTAATGCCAGCCCTTGGGAAGCACAGTGAGTCCTGGACAGTCTGAGCTGCAGAGGGAGAGACACTGTCCAAAAACACAAGTGAAAAATGACAAGAAAGGATTTCCAGGACAGCATGGACCCTTGCATGAATGGAAGTAGGTTCCTTGCCTATGCAGCAGGTTAGGGACTCACCCTGCCCTCCCCCCACCATCCCCTGTTCCCCCTCCTTCCCCCCATAAGAAATCAACAGTGAGAAAATGTTTCCAACCAGAGTGTTAGGTACTGCAATGTACAATCAGAGCAATTCCCAATTCCTCTCAGAGAAAATGCTGTTTGTAGGAGAGGACCCCGGGACTTGTTCACTCCTCCGTCATTTCTCAGTTTGCAGAGTCACAGTGCACCTGTTACTAAGAACCCGAGCTGGGTCAGCGCTTCAGAGTAGGGAGGATCAGAGGCTGAACTTGAGACTGACTTTTGTTTGTTCTGTTTTAAAAAACATTCATTGACTTCGTTGCCATTTTCTGACATGAAGTTATTATCAGAAGGAAGGCTTTTCAACAGTAAGATCGACTGCCACCATATGTTCTCCTAGTTTCTAATACAGAGCTGATCAATTAGGTGTTACTATCTCCCCAGAATAAAGACTGAGGTTTAAACAAATATTCAGCTGGTCTTAAGTGAGGCGTATTCACTCATGCACAGAACAGTGGAGAACGGTGACGTTTTATAATTGGCAGCATCTACCAAGACACACACACACACACACACACACTTTAGAATATACAACTTAAGCAAACATACACACCCAAAGACAAACCAGGGGGGAAAGGCGTAGATGTACAAGGTAGAGTGAGCAGATCCCCTGACAGGTGGGATCCTGTTCTTGGATTACTTACCAGCACAAATGGAAGTTCCGTTTCTCTCCAGAGGACCTGGCTGACAGTTCCTGGTCTGCTGTGCTGTGAGTACACTAATCTTTAAAAACACTGGCAGGAAGGTGAGTGAGAACAGCATGGTCTCTGTGGCTCTGAGGTTAAAAAAAAAAATCAATTCGGTAACTTAAATTGCTAGAGCTTGAAGCAGGCAGAGTCCGAGCTTCTGCCCCTCAGAACTTCCAGCCAGCTTGGCCTTCGGCCCCGGGGCATCTTTTATTTAGCTGTTTTAATGCTGCCTTCCAGGTCTTTCTCCTCCTCTCGAGAGCCTCTGAGTGCAGCCCAAAATGCTCTGGGAGACTTCTTTATCTCACTTTTTTTTGGACAGCAATAAGAAATACCTGACACCCCTATGACAAATTTCACAGAGCCTAAGTGCACTGGAAGGCCGGCGGGTGACTGATTTCTCCCTGTGACAGGCAAAGGCTCAAAGAGAAATGAGACAGGAAAGAACCGGTGGAAAGTTTCAAGCCCCACCGGGATGAGGGATGGGGCTAAGGACGAAATATGCAGATGGGATTCCTTCCCGATCTGCTTCTCCTTTTGGAACCCAGAAAGACTCTCCTCTCCCTTTTAAAGCTCGTCTGGCCCCACCCCCTCTCCTTTAGCGACACTGGAGCAAACAGACAAGCCTCTTTGCAAACACCCGTGAGGGCAACTCCACGGAGCAAGCAGGAAGGCAGGGCAGGGTGCCAAAGAGGAGATAGCTGCTACTCACTAAAAATATTCAGGGCAGAGAAGGGGAAAGAGCAATTAGGGGGTGTGGCACAGCTAATAGTTCCAGGGACCTGCTGAGTACCACTTATGTCTGAGTATCTTGAAGAACAGAGACAAAAAAATCAAACCGCACATTTTAAATCAAAGGTGAGTCACACCGTCGACAGTTCAGACAATTTATCATAATTGATCGCAGACGTGAGTGGTGTCGAGGAGAGCTCGCCGTCAGCTCATTATTTGCAGGAAGTGTCAACGGCCATTCACATTCCTGCAGCTTAATCTTAGTTCTCTCTCCTGTATGTTTTATAGTGGAATTTGTAAGATTATTCTTTCCATACCAAAGGGAAATCCCTGTAGCCATGTGAAGAGATACAATGTGGACAGACACTTTTTCTTTCAGCACTAGTGTAAGGAAACATCACCATGGGCCAGGAGAACAGGGGAAGGGGCCGATTGTTATGACTGAGCTGTATTAGAAAAAAATACAAGGGAATTGGGTCAAAGCTGGGAGCCTGAGAAGCATAGTGGAGTGGAAATCCGGCAACTCAGGCCATCTATCACATCTCAGATAGAAAACAATAATTTGGCTCTCCATTGGCTGTCTCCTCAAGTGTCTCCACATGAACCGAACCACTGTTCCTTCAGGAATATACACAGAATCCCAAAACATCCAGCTCTGGCCAGCCATTTCATCAGACTTGATGAACAATGGGAATTCTGGTGGTTTACTTTACCCTGGAGATAGGCTTTTCTTTAAGATGCCCTGAGGTAGTTCCAAATTCAAGTCAAAATGCAGTTACAGCGATTCTCTCAAAAGCAAGAGATGCCCTCGTGTATAACCTTCATAGAGAACAGAATGGCTGAAAACTCTTTGCCCATGCTTAATTGGGTTCTGACTATTTTTCAAAGACAGAAGGTTAAAATCATGTTTCTCAAATTCCAGTTCCTTTATCCCCAGTAGCTCTGACCCTGTGTAAGGAGAAACAGACCCTGAAGGAGCAATGGAAATCCTGTGGATGAGTGTACAGAATGTTTTATTGCTTTCTAGACTCACGGAGACTCAAGACTAAGAATGAACGCCCTACAAATACTCTGCACTGTGTATTTGTCACTAACGTTGTCCATGAAGTTCCCCTTCAGCAAAACGCACTTGCTGGTATTGATGATGGTGATCAATAAGGACATTGGTTAGCAAGGGAAGTTAGAACACAGTGCAGCATGAAAGTGATCCATTACGTTAGTAGAAACATACACAGGATATAACCCACAGCCCCATTCTATTTGGATGTAGAAATAGTCAGATCATTTTTGGTTAGAAAACATTTGTTTTCAGACTGGAGAGGTGGCTCAGGCAGGTCAAAGGAGGGGCTGCCAAGGCCAACAACCTGAGTTTAGTTACTGGGACCTACATGGTGGAAGGAGAAGATTGACTCTTGTAAGTTGTCCTCTGACTTCAATTCATGCACATGCACAGGGCACACACACTCACAGCATGCACACACACACACACACACACACACACACTAAATAATTGCAACAAAAATTTAAATGTTTGTTTCCCTTATTACATGCCACCTAGCTAATGTCGTTGGTGTTGAACGCAATAGAATCGACTAAGAGATATGGAATCAACAAGAGATAAAGTCGATGTTTCAACTGATGTCTGATAGTAAAAATCAATCCAGCGAATTCCCAGACCACTCACAATTACCCAAATAGAAAAATCACGGAACTCAGCTACCCAACAACAATGGGCTTCCAGAGGAATTCCATATTCTTACTTCCATCTCTATTGATAAGGCACTGTGGTGAGGAGCAGGTCCAGCAGAAGGCAGCAGAACAAACGAACTGGAAACCAGCAGTGAGCTGGAACAGTGACCCACGATGTAATGGTTGGGAGCTTTGGGTAGGATATGGAAGAGGAGAAAGTCATGGTGACAAGAAGATGAGGGTCGAGAGTGGACAAAGAAAATAGTTGCTGACTTATTAGATTCTTAGAGGGACACTGGAGGGAAGAGGGAAACCTCAGGTAACTCTGTAAGGGAATGGCAAGGGTACTTCTCTAGGTGCTTTTCAGTGTGGGTGGGCAACAATGGCCAAGAGAAAGGAATTATGTCTTTATGTGTCTATTACACACACACACACACACACACACACACACACACGAGTCTTCTAAAGAGTCATCACCACTACCATGTCACCAACAGATTGCTTCCTCTAGGCCATGTACTTTACACATGCCATCTCCAACCATCAACATCACCTTGCCAAGGGATTAATATTATTATTCTATGTCACCAACTTAGACAAAGAAGATTATCCATATTTATGAGGGATGGGAACCCTGGAGTGTTATTCTTTCATTCTTACACAGTGCCACTGACTTGAACTAACAGGCAGGGATCACCAAAAGGCAGGAGAGACTTAGATTATACTCAGGCTGTGACTGCAGAAACCAGAAGTGACAGATTATCTGTGTTAGTAAACTGACTAGGAGCACTTAGGATGTACATACAGAAGTTATGCTATGGTTATTTGAATGAGGACTGTCCCCCATGGACTTGGATTTTTGAATGTTTGATCCTCCGTTGGTGGCACCATTCAAGGAGGCTTAAGGCCTGTAAGTCTTGCTGGAGGAAGTACTTCACTAGAGGTGACCCGTGGAAGTTCATAACCTCTCTCTACTTGCAGTTTACATTGTTTTTGCTTCATGGTTGTGGTTGAGATGTCTTCTTTCAGCCTCCTGCTCCCCATGAGCCTGCTGCTTATTGCCACACCTCTTTGTGAGGAGCTCATACCCTCTGGAAGTCCAAACCAACCTTTCCTTTTGTAAGCTGACTTTATCATGATGTTTTATCATAGCAACATACAAATAACTAATACAGAAGATAGTGCCAGAAAGCGGGCTAATGCTGTGAAGAACCTGACCATGTTGATTTTGGGAGGATTGTGGAAGACTTTAGAATATTAGATTAGATAAAAGGCTGGCTGCTATAAATAGAGCTTAAAAGCCAATACTAGTAGGAGCCTAGGTTGTATTGCTAAAAATAATGCAGATTGTGGAAAGGAGCACCAGGGATCTCAGAAAGAAGCAAGAATTGTAACAGCAACTGGGCTGAAGGCCAGAGGTGTATTTTGGCAGAGAAGCTAGTTGTTTTCTGTTTGTGTCCTGAGAACTTGCCCGAAGCTAAGTTAAAAAGTAACAAAATAATTTCTTTGATGGAAACAATGTCAAGACTGCATACCCTTGAGTCTGTAGTAGGTAGGGCAGAAATGCCTATCAAATGTGTGGTTTGGAGAGAAAAGGAACATTAGGAAGCTTAGTGCTATGCTGGAAGGGAGGCTGTAACTGTTGAGATTAGTGCCATTAAGGAAAGTTCTGTTCTGCTATGGAACTAAAAGAGTAAGACCCTCAAGGCAAGACCCTACCTCGTAAGCTTCCAGGGACTAAAAGATCCTAAGGCATTTTCTGCCCCAGGAAAGAAACTCAGAAGTAGACTGCTGTTAGTGTGATTCAAGGGGACCAGGATCCATCCTAAGCTAACAGCCAAACTTGGCAGTGCCATCAATATGGTGCTGGCTTTAGAAGCATGAAGGAGTCGAGAAAGAGTGAAGGGGTCATGAATTTTTCCTCTCCAGTTTTCAGAGAGCCACTGAGACTTAGTTGAGTGTGGCAAGGTGAGGGGTTCCTGTGTGAAGTCCCTGAGATAGCAAGAGGCTGGGAGAGGCCATTGCACAAAGTGTAAAAGTAAAGCCTATGTTATTGTGGAGGCCCCAAGAAGGTGGCCATCCTAGGGTCATGAAACGTCTGCTGGGGAGAGCTGCAGGCAAGGAGTAGAAGGAGCCCAAAAGAGAGGTGTATATTGTGGGAAGAAAATCAGGAAGGACAGAGCCATATGTGCTGGATACTTTGTATCAATGTGACACAAGCTGGAGTCCTCTGAAAGGAGGGAACCTCAGTTGAGAAAAGGCCTCCATAAGACTGCATTGTTAGACAAGACTGAGACCATTTTCTTAACTAATGATTGATGCAGGAGGGCCAGCCCATCTGGGTATTCCCCCACTCCCTGCCTCCGGTCTGGTGGTCCTGGATGCTATATGAAGGCGAGCTGTGCATTCCATGTAAACAACACTCCTCTCCATCTCTATCTCCCAGTGGCCTCTACATCAGCTCCTAGGGTTTCAGGTTTCCACTTGGTTTGAATCTCTGCCTTAGCTTCCCTCAATAGATTGTGGTTCAGGATATGTAAGCCAAATAAACCCTTTCCTCTCCAGGTTGCTTTTGGTTATAGTATTTCATCCCAGCAATAGTAATCCTAACTGAGATGTTCTCTAAAGCCCTTTGAATTTAAAGTCCCAAATAAT